CCTAGATTTCTATACATCAGGACACTGAACTTGAGGAGCTCCTAAATAATTTTGTGTTTTGCTTTTTTTTTAAATTGGTTTTAACTTTACTTTGAAATCCATCTTTACATGTTAACTTAGAGTTCTTTGGTTTTATACACAGGAGTGATATAACTGTGTCATATGGCAGTTCTGTTTTTAGTTTTCTGAGGCTTCACCACTAATATTCTTAGTGGCTATACATATACTATTACATTCTACTTATTAATGAATCAGTTTTTTTATATACTGTTCTAATCACGGTTTCCCCTCCCCTGTGGTCATTAACTGAACTTGATATAACCATTCCTAGCACTGGAAGTTTCACTTAGTGGTGAGAGATGTCTAGTTGGGGCATTGTCTTCCCTGGGCTTTGGTGACTCCATTCATATCTTCATATACTTGTATATATTGGACAGCTTCTACAGTAGCACATTTCCATATGACCCCTCCAATGACCTTATTGTTAGTTATCCTTCATGTTCTCTTCCTGACCCCTGTCCTGCATCCTTTTTCCAATTAACCCTCCTACCCAAGTCACACCCTTACTGCATTTCTCCAGTATGCTAGTTCCCTTTCCTCGGGGACCCTTCTTCCCTCCTGGCCCCTTATTCTACACCTAATCTTTGTGATTACAAGGATTGTATCATGCTTACCAGAGGCTTAAAAACTAATATTCACATAGAAGAGAAAATATACAATACTTGTCTTTTTGGGTCTGGGTCACCTCACTCAGGATGAATTTTTCTAGCTCCATACATTTACCTGCAAAGTTAATAATTTTGTTTCTAAACTGTTCACTAATATGCCATTGTGCATATGTACATTTTCATTGCCTACTCATCAGTTGATGGACATCTCTAATTCCTTGTTTGTTGTAGGAGCTGTGGGCTGCATTCCTGCCACCTGGCTCCCGGCCGCTCGGCTAGCTTATACCCCGAAATAACAACACACAAACTGTATTCTTTTAAACACTGCTTGGCCCATTATATTAGCCTCTTCTCGGCTAACTCTTGCACCTGCACTAGCCCATTTCTAATAATGTGTGTAGCACCCCAATGTGCGCCTACCGGGAAGATTCTAGCCTACGTCCATCCTTGGTTGGAACTTCATCGCGTCTGCCCCAGAAAGGAGAGCTATCGAGTCTGAGCTCACTTCCTCTTCCTCCCAGCATTCTGTTCTGTTTACTCTACCCACCTATGTTCTAACCTATGAGGGCCAAGCAGTTTCTTTATTTTTTTAACCAATGACCTTCCTCCATCACTTGTTCTTGTGAATAGAGCAGTAGTGAACGTGAATGAACAAGTTTACGTTCCTATTCGCACAGTGATGTAGGATTATTTCTTGTAGCTTTACCATCTCTACCACCCTTTGTTGTCATTTGTTCTCTTGATGGTAGCCATTCTAACAGTGGTGAGATGGGATCTCAGAAAACTTTTATTTACATGCCTGGTGGCTAAGAATATTCAAAAATTTTTCAACTATTAGATCTTTGGATTTCTTTTTAAAGGCATCTGTTCACCTCACTGGTTCACTGGTCCATTTACTGACTGGTTCTGATTGACTTTTTTTTTTTTTTGGCTTATAGGTTTAGATGTGGTCTCATGTAGCCCAGGCTTTTCTCAGACTCATGGTGAGGCAGAAGATGACCTTGACTGTTTTGATCATCTGACCTCTATTTCTTGTGCTTGGATTACAGATGTGTGCAGTGGCTAGAATCCAAGGCCTTGTAAGTGCCAGGCAAGTGCTCTACCTGGTGATTACAACCCTAGCCTCTTGGAATTATTATTTGTCACCTTTATATGTTCTAGATAGTAATAACCTGCCTGAGGTATACCTGGCAGAACATTTGCTGTAGGCGGGGTTCTGTTCTCACTTCTGTAGTTTGCTCTTTTCAATTTGTCACTGCCTTTTTAGGGCAGTATTGCACTCCGGGGCAGTGACAGGTTCGATTTAGACACCTGACTTCTGGGTGTGTTCTGTTTTCAGGCCCCCACATCTCAAGATGGTGCCTACTCATGGACCTTGAAGTCACACCGTGTGGCAGAATAGTTCTTCTCCACTGTTGATTCATCACTTACTTTAGTGGGATTTGAGTGTGTGCGTGCTATGGGCTTGTTCTGAGTCTGAGTCTGTTTTCTTCACCAGGTCTCCCTTGGATGAGGCTTTTTTTCCCCTTGCTCTTCCCAGGGAACTATGTGCTTGACGTGTTTGGCATGGCTGCTTTTTGCAGGGTTGCCTTTCTCATTTCCCATACATTTCAGTTGTCCTATCACCCTCTGCCTGTGTGAAGGTTGGAAGCTCTTCCTCTTCTGTTTAGAATAGTCTGCTCTTTCTTATACTGATTTCATTAGCTGCTACACTTGGAGTACCTTCTAGTTAGCGCTCTTTCTCAGAATTGTCAGCATTTTGCATTTGATCAGCATCCCGTAGTTTTTCTGGGAACATACACTGTGTAGAGAAGGTGTGGAGATAGCCCCCACACAGTCCCTGCCCTCAAGACTGCAGTTTACGAAAACGCCTGGCGAGTGAAACTGAATGAAGCAGTGTGAAAAGTAAGGGCGTTAAAGTTCCCTCACCAGTGCTTTGCCATGTGTGCTTTAAGATGAGCTGGACTGTCAGTATTGCTCACTTCGCATGGAGTAGGACAGAGAAGGATCAGGGGCTTCATCTGTCTTCTGAACCTGGCTGTGAAGTATTTTCTCCAGTGCCGTTCTGGTTTACAAAGATGTCCACATTTGTAACTGCTTCAGCTTTCTTTAGAGCAGTGATGCAGCAATCTCAGGAAGGCCTTGAATGACAATGCAGTTGACCCAAAAGAATTGTACATCAGACTAATAATATTTCTTTCTGAATGAAATTATATACTTAGGAAGCTGTTAGAAATCTCCGTAAATTTGGAATTCCATGTTAATCATGTGTTTGACAGCATACCTCTTTGTGTTTGCACATGTACACTTTCTACGGTCTTCCTTTCTAGTGGAGTCATTCTTTGTAGATACCAATTCAGCCTCTGCAGTAAAAAGTCTTAAGACCAGTTATCAATGATTATACATATTTTAAAAGAAATGGTATTCAGATGATGGATAATCCTTTGAACTGTTCTATGCCTAATATATACTATCAAAATGAGTGGATTTAAAATGGTATTTAAACAATCTGAAATTAAATATCTGAAGTATAAGAAATACATTACAAAAAGTTTAAGAAGTACAGAAACCAAGAAGCTGGCATATATAATATAGATACATATATGCATTTATGTTTGTATCTGTAATCCTGAAAAATAGTTTCTCCAAAATATAGTCCCATGTACTATGTATTATAGACTTTGCTTTCTGTTAATTATTATTACTACTTTTATATGAAATCTTGCTGTGTACCTCATGCTGGCTTGAACTTTCAATCTTTCCTCATGAGCCCCTCAATGCTGGGATTACAAACTGCCATTCTTCCTACATGTAGTCTTCTTTTCAAAATGCTTTTCTCAAATATAGTGCTCAAAGAGTAGTATAAAAACTTGACCTATTCTTTGAACTTAAGTGCTTCCATTAGTACTATATTAAGATCAGTTAATAAGGCCACACATTTGGTGATATTCGTCATTGGCAATATTGTGAACACTTGTTTCCTCTAAGTTGAAAACACATATGGATTAGCCAAGAAAAATTCTGTACTAATTAGTTGAAATGTTTTAGAGACTTCATGTTGGAAGTCTCTAGACTTTTTTTTTGGCAGTAGAATTTTTTTTTTTTTTTGGCAATAATTTCTTCCAGTTTATTGGAATTAAAAAGGGCTGTCATCTTGTCAGGGAAAATTGAGCTTTTACTGTCAAACATTGACTTTTAATTCCAGCCTTGCAACCAATGACCATATTGTATAGTCCTTATGCAGACCATCTCTCTGCGCAGGATGTTAACTAGTATAATTTGACAGCACTCACTCCATGTGTTGAACAGTGACTCAAGCTGGGCCTCAAGTGTTTAGAAGTTTCTGAATATACATCTGATGATAAGAACACATTTTAATTGGAATTACTAGTTTAACAGTTACATTTGAAAAGAACATATTTATTGGGCAGAAATGATTCCTGTGCTGTATAACCGTTTCAAAATAGTCTTGACATCTCCAAGATTCCCCTACATTATTTCAAATGATCCATGGCTGCTAAATTAGGGGAGGATCCATGGTCTAGAGGATTCCCGTTATCTTTGGATTGCAGATAATTGGGGAGTACCTCTTGGTATACACAAAACTAGGAATTCCATTCTAGCTTACGTGTCCAGCCATTAAGGAAGGTGACTAATCTCAGAGGAGAGATCTCCTACCTGAGGAAATAAGGTGAGATCTCTGAAATAAGCTCAACTCTAGAAGAACTATAGGTCAAGGTGCAGCAAGGATCGGTGACTCTTCAAACCCTGCTAGAAACCAGATTTCCTGTGCAACAATGTGCAAAGTATTGTTGACTCTAGTTGCACCCTAGAGAGGCAGATGGGAGTTTGTAGAGCTCTGGGTTCTGAGCTTGGGAGGAAGAGCTAACCATTGATTTGTGGCACACTTGCAGGACATTTAGTAGGCTCTATGGTTTTTTATTTTGTGACTTTTGTTTTGTTTCATGTGTATGAGTGTTTTTCTGTTTATATATATGTACAACACATGGGTGCCTGGTGCCTATGGAGGCCAGACGAATGTGCTGGACTCACTGTTATAAGCTGACATGTGGGTTGCTGGGATCCAAACCAACGTCCTTTGCAAAAACAATAATTGTTCTTAACCACCAAGCTATTTCTTCAGCCCCGTCACTAGGAATTTTGGTGAATAATGAATTAATACTTGATTAGACATTTTATGCATTGTTATTTATTTAAGCTAATAAATTGCAAAATATTGAAATTGTTTTGAAGTACACAAAATTCTTTTATATTCATGCAGATGTATAGTAATACTAATAATTTCTCCATTCTGCTCTTCCTCCTCTACAGTGTGTCGAGATTTTGCTGTCCTGGAGGACCACACCCTAGCTCATAGCCTGCAGGAACAAGAGAGTAAGTATCAGCTCTAATTCATGAGCCTGCAGCTTTCTTTTTAGTGGTAGCTTGAGGCTGTTTCTTCCTGTTAGGTAAAGAGAAAGTCACTAAGTATACCTCATATCTACCCTGAAGAAAGGTCTTGGCAAGTGACAAGGATAAATAATGAATTCTGCATGTTTTGAAATGAGTCAGGGATAGGAATAGTGCTCACTGTCTGGAGGAAAAGGACTGTTCCCTTCCCTTCCATAGAAGGGAGGCAGTGGTTGTAAATGTATCTGTAGTAAGTATGTCAGAAGCTTGCCCTTGGAATAGAAACTGGGACATTTTCCATAGGCAATAGTAGTGTCTGTGTTAAGTCACACTGCAGATTTTTTTTTGTAGTTTGAGATAGGGTCTCCTGTAGCCCAGGCTGATCTGAAACCCCCCCATTGTAGTTTAGGATGATCTTGGAAATCTGATCCTACTGCCTCTGTGTCCCGAGTGCTGGCATTGCAGGCATGTGACACCACAGCCTGTTGATACCCTGCTGAGGATGGGACTTGGGGCTCCCTGCATGCTAGGCATGCACTCGGCTAACAAAGGTATATCCCCAACCCCACATGGTGGATTTTTCTGAATAGTTAGTGTTTTAGTAGAAAGTAAAACCAATTTAGATAGTATTTTATGAGTTCATGATTTGAGAGTTCTTGGAATGGCAACAGAGTTCAGTAGAAAGAAAAGTGGCCAACTTAGAGTGTCTATATAGACATCCTGTCACTGCTACATTTATGTCACGTGATCAGAAAAGCAATTGACTTATTCCTGTTGGTCTCCTTTTTACCCAGTAGAGTAACTCCTGAAGCAATTTTATTTTTTGTTAAAACCATGAAGTAGAGTAGTGGGTATATAGACTTTTATAATGGTGAGGCTCTACATAAGCTTTTTATTGACCTGTCAACACATTGTAACGCCCCTTCTAATGGTCCTGTCCAGTTGAGCATCATTTGGCATCAAACATTCAGCGGAACCGTCTGGTCCAGCATGATCTGCAGGTGGCTAAGCAGCTCCAAGAGGAAGATCTAAAAGCCCAAGCTCAGCTCCAGAAGCGATACAAAGACCTGTGAGATCTGGGGAATGGCACTGGTAGATGCATGCCTATGGGACAGCAGCCGGGGCAGGGAGGGCCCCTCTGGCTCTCCATGTCTTTTCTGTCTGGGATTACAAATTATGGCTGTTCAGTAATTCTCTTTGTTACTGAAATATGCATTGGGAAATGTTAGTCATAGTACTCACACTTTTAACTCTTTGACTTTGAGCTGATTCGTTTGTCTCTTTCAATTTAGTCTTTGTACCTATGCCATGAAGAAAATAATCTCTTATCTTCTGACTGTAAGTTTGTTTGGGGGAAGCATTGGAATAATAGACAATTCTTTATGTGCCATAATGGGTTCCTTTAGTTTTCTTAGCTGTGTTTGCTATACCATCTTTCTTTGGTTTCCTTACTTTTTAAGAAGCACAATGTTCTAGAAAGCACTGAGGTGTACTATGATGAGTTATAAGTGCTAAATGTGAGAAAATGTTGTGGGCTCCTAGAAAGCGAGAAGTAGCAGCTTTCAGCCTTTCCTTCCTGGCAGTCTGGCTAGCTGGCACAGCAGAAATTTCCATTAATGGAAATTTTCACTCAGATTGGGACCTTTAGCTACTTCGAGCCAGGGTGACCAGCATTGACTGCTCTGTGCTCATAGTGCCCCTTCCTCATGGTTCTGTCCATTTATCCAACTGTGCTAGCACTGACCCTGCCTAGAAGCAGGCTTTAATGTTGTGAAGCTAAGTGTGAGTTTCACTTTTGTAACTTCTGTGTTGCTTGTGGCCTTTGGAATTTCGATCTGCTTTCCATGTTGTGCTTTCTCTATCACCTTTCTAAAGTTGATTTCTATGTGATAATGGGTAAGATCTTAACTTACTCAACCTGTAACATAAAGTCTAAACCATTTTTTTTTAACTTATTCGGTGGCATGAGAAGTCATACCTCATGGCTGACCAAAATCAGGTCTGCAGACTTTTCATTTAGGGATTGTTTCTTTGCTACCCTGTCTTCAAACAGAATCTGATATGTCTTCACAATAGTATGTATGGTCACACTTCTACTTTTACATACATCTACTAATTTCCAAGAATATTAAACATTTTGTGGTATAAATGAAAATGATTTTTATCTCCTTGGGTTTGTTAGACTATTTTGGTTTCAGTCATTCCAGAGAAGTTAGGGTTCCCCTGACAATACTTTGTAATGTATCTTGCTGATTCTCAATGGAATGTACAGCCATATCTGAGAGTCAAAGAACATTTGAAGTTCAATTATTGAATGGAAAAAGGGAGAAGATATATTTGTTTAGTAAGTGAACTGCAAATTATAAGTTGAATTTTTCCAGCTTGTTTTGAAGTAGTCATTTCTAAACATAATTTTGTTCATCTTTCCTAGATGGTTACTTTGTACAAGAGATAACTTCCCAGAATTATCACAGTCTAGAATTTTAACTCTCATTTTTCTTAAAACCTGAAACCAGAACACTGTACCTAGTATTGTAATTTATAGTTAGTTACTTCTCAGAGAACCAGGCTTCTTAAAGATACTAGGAGAGTTTGCTTAATGATTAAGACCACTTGCTGCAGTGGAAGAGGTCCTGGGTTTTGTTCCCATTACCAGCTCACAACCATCTATAACTCCATCTATAAGGGATCTGAGAATGTCTTCTTGCCTCCTTGGGTACCAAACGTGTATGTGGTGCCTATTCATACACACAGGCACTCAATACATACACATAAAATAAATGAATATATCTTAAAGGTGCTATGTTAAGGTTTCTTTTCTCTTACCAAAATGATTGCCCTGGTTTCACCCATCTGAATGTCTAAAAGACTTACTTTTTTTGTTTCCTCTGTATTGTACTTTATTTTGGGTTCATAGTAGGCATTGCTTAAATTTCTGTTTTATATATTAATGTGAAAATCAGACAAATAAGCAGAAACTAAAAACAAAAGCCATGATAGCTGCAATGTCTCTAATGTCTAAAGCATTGAGAAAACCAACATTTCCTAAAGAAGCCTCTACTGAGAACCACAGTTAAAGAACACGAGCTCCTTTTAAATTTTATAAATCTTTTACTGTTCATTTCTAAATTTAAAAATAATATAGATCATATTTATACAGAACTTAAAAATCATACACTACCTCTGATTATAAAATTATTGATGTTTTTATGATCTTGCTCACATTCTTTTTCTGTGTGCTCTGTATTTGCATATTGGTGGGTATTGATCTCCTGGACATAGAGCTTATGCAGGATTCTGGAAGACCTTCTATCTTCCGGTAGAGTGGGTAAAGCAATGCGACTTTCATTTTATCTGAAGGAATGCCAGATTTTCCACACAGTCACTTTATGATCCAACTTTTTACTTGGTTCAATTGGGCAATGGTCTTTTCTGTCGCTGTCATGTAAATTGAATTGTAACAGCTTATAACAGTTTTCAATGAACTGTTCTGTGTAACAAAAGTGTCCCCTTGTGTCCTTTGTCTACATCACCTATACCTTTGTTTTATAGTGAACAACACGACTGTGAAATTGCTCAAGAAATTCAGGAGAAACTGACTATAGAGGCCGAGAGACGACGAATTCAGGAGAAGAAGGATGAGGTATGACTTTGGTGAGGTCCTGCATCCTTTCTGGATGACAGCAGGACTCCTCGTCTGGAATGCAGTAGGGCTTAGGTGTTGTTTTGTGTGCACCACTGTTTATGGCCTCTTGATGGCTTGTGTCCTGGGGAAGTCTTGACATGAAATCTGAGTTCATTTTCTAGCACTGCTGTCTCCATCATGATGGAGGATAGGAACTTATTCTCAGAAACAGGAAGTCTAAGATGACCTTCTCTGGGAAGCTGTGCTCCAGCTGCCCATCTTCATTGTCATAGGCAAGAAGCTCATGATTGGTTCGAGGACCCTGTCATATCCTATATGACCTTACATTATTATATCCACAAAGGCCTCAAATAAGGCCCCATTCTGAGGCTCGGAGTAAGTGAAATGTGAATATTCTTCAGCTTGCTAAAACTCTGCATGTGGGTTGCAGCATTTGCGAGCAAGCCTAGAGAGCAGCTCCCTCTAAAGTGAGCAGTCAGTTCTTGTGAGATGCCAGGAGCTGGTATTACCTCAGGGTATCAAGATTTTATAAAAGTATATTTATATAAGTTTGTTATTTTAAGAGCAGCTCAAATAACATATATTTTTGTTAGTATACTTTTCTGTGATTTGAACTGTAACCTACTTTTATATATTTGTTGCAGTAAGTCTAAGGGAAGGGGGCTCTAGTTGAGAAAACCCTGCTTTCCTTATCCCAGTGATATTGCTACTTTTATACCTATAGCCTTTTCCAGTTTTCCTGGCTTTACAGCACAACCCTTGATTATACCTGCTTTGAGATGTCCCCTAAGCTAGGCATTCATGTGTAAAACGCTAACTAATGAAGTAGACGAGCAATCTACTTGGGTGGTTTTGTTTTCCCCACTTTCCCCCATTACCGGCAGTAATTTACAACTCATATTTTTAGATCTCTTTTCATTTTTAAGTTAAAAATGTCTTTCTTTTAAAACTCATGATGACTAGAGGACAGAGGATTACTGGAGAACTAATCCTAACATACCCCTGTGTAGTATAGAGTTTCCCTAAAACTGTGATTAATAGAGTGCTCCCTCTGGAAAAGATCTGCAGGCTACCTGGGGCTGCTTTAATGGCTGTCCTAGAGCACTGAGCTACCGTTCCCTGCATTATTTCATGTGCCTTTGCCACTCGATAGATGTTGTTAAGGATCCTGGCCAGTATCCAGATTCTCTGCTGTCTGGAACATGATATTTGGCCTCTTCAAGGAAATTTGCAAACGCATGTTTTCATTGCTTTCTTCCAGCATTCTAGAGATCTTGAACACTGTCCTTCATATGGTTGACACTAGTAAAGGGAGAAATGAAATATAATGTTGGCAGACTCACATTCTGACCACTCGGTCTTCTGTAAATATGTCATTTCTGCAGACTTGCCCAAAGTAAATCTACCTGATAAATTAAAGCTGATTAGGCCTGAGTTCAGAAAGGGTTAAGATTTCTTGAAGATATGCTTGCCCATTTTATTTCATAAGGTGCATATTTTTAATTTAATAAAAGACTGTCATTAAACAAAATTGAAAAATCCTATCTTCTTAACTTAAACAGTTTCTTCTGTCTAGTTTTAAAATTTTTAAGATACATTTTGTTTAACTTATTTTGGAGAGTAATAGTAGAGATTGAGCTCAGAGCCTTGGATATGCTTGAGGTCCTTTTACACTGAGCTAGACCCTCGGCTTTCAGTGTGCATGTTGAAGAGTTAACTACAGTGTATGTTTTGACTGAATCCTTTTGTTTCTTTGGAGGATCTGGTGAGACAGTATGCTCCTTTCTGGAGGATATGTTTGTAGCAAGGGAGCTAAGGATCCAGAAGACTTCACATACAAGGTGACCAGTTGACCGACAGTGTCCAGCTCAGTGACTAATACCAGCCGCCTTTAGTTTCAGAGGAAAGCACTTTGGTTATGGCCAAGAGTACGTCAGGCTGAGGTGTAGTTGGAAAGCAGAAGAAGAACTCCCTTTGGGGCCTGTGACTTAGGATAGTGGCAGTCTTTTTCAACTCTAGAAAGTCTTTCTTCTAAAGAACCTAAAGCCACTGAGAGCTTAGAAGAAAGGAAACATTGGCTTGTCAAGCACCTGACATGTATTCTCCTCACCGGATAGACCTGCCAGTGCAGTAAAGGAGGTTATCATTCTTGTTCTGCTAGCCCTCAAGGGGTGGACTGTGGCTGCATCATTACTAGGATGGAGCTCAGTACCAGGAAAGCAATGAAAAGTTTCCAGAGTGTTGTTTAATAGAGTTCATTGGCGGGGTGAGGGGCCCATCTCTTTCCTTTGTATTGTTTCCTTCAGTTTTTAGAGGCAGCGTTTGTGCTTGCTTGTAGAGCTAGCACTTAGGGAAATGATATTGGGGTGCATAGGAACTGGTGTTACTCGGGGGCACTTGTGCTTCTTTCCACTTCTCTGATCAGCAGGGTAGGAGCTTAGAGAACGTGTATTTAGCATGATAGTTTTCGGGGTACAAGCTAAAACCTATGACCCCTCTTTCTTCTTTGTTTGTTTGTTACTTAATAAGACCTTAAAGGAATAGTTCTGGCACACGGGTTCTGGTGAAAGCAGGCTGATTTACTCTGATGTTATTAAGTTGTCAGGAACATTGCAGTTTAAGGATGAATAACTTATACTTTTTATCACACCAAACTCAATTGAAACCTTAAGACATTTGTCTTGCGTAGTTACTATTTGTCTCATTATGTCCCTTTCAGACCAGCTGGCTGGGATAGAATCACTAAAGGGATGTTTTCTATCAGTACACTAGAAATTCACGTTCGTGTATGGAAAAGCACAAAAAAGGATGTATCCTCCTTCACACTCACCTGCTCGGGTGCCTGGCATTGCACAGTCTGAGCGTTTAGATAAACTACAAACTTTGCTCAGGGCTCGGTGTGTATTCTACATATTTAAGTTTCAAGTTTGAAACTGGACATTGGCATCCATGTTGTCATATATACAAAACTGTGTTCGTGAATGATAAAAATATGTTACAGTCATTTCTAATTTTGTTTCCTGGGATTTGCATCTAACGTGTGTGTGTGTGTGTGTGTGTTTGTGACAGAGTTTCTCTGTGTAACAGCCCTGACTGTCCTGGAACTTACTCTGTAGACCAGTCTGGCTTCAGACTCATAGAGTTCTGCCTGTTGCTGTCTCCTGAGTGTTGGGCTTAAAGGCCTATGCCACCATGTCTGACTCTGGCTTTTTTTTTTTAATGTATGTGGAATAATTCTGTTTCTTTTGAATGAATTACTTTGAGTTTTTTTTTCTTTTAGTATATTTTTTGGACACATAAAATTTCAGAGAGACTTTTTTTTGTACCAAAATTTCAGAAAGAAAAAAAAGTACTGTTTTTGTACCACTATGTTTATTCCATGTTATAAAGAGCTATCTCAAGTTTCTCATGTTCTTCCCATACTTGTGTTTCGTGCCCTGTTATCTGAGCTTTGAAGAACCTGATGGGGTATGGAGCTTCTCTCCAGAAAAGTGTATAATGTGCACAAAAATCTCCATGCTCCTCTATGGGGCTTTCATGGGCAGAGTCTTGACATTCAAAATACTACACTGCAAGCAGAACTTTCAGTAACAGTTCATCTTTTTGTATAGTACAGACCACAGACGCTGAAGATGTTCAGGAGTGCCTGTGACCCACCCACCATCTTCTCGTCCACCATTTTACTGCAGTGTTTTGTATCTTGTACTCTTTAAGCTTTGGTAATTCCTGGTACTATTAAAACCCTGACTGACAGCCTTGCTCATGCTGTGTTTTGCATATTGCCTGTTGAAATGTTGTGCCTTGTTTAAAGCCTAACAGTTCAGAGCCTTGAAGCATCGGTAGTGTTCCTTTTTTGGTGTCTCTATAGATACTCAGTTGTGCCTGAGGTGTCATCCTCACGTTACAGAGGTTGTTTGTATGTGGCTCTGCAGGGCGGGCCCATTTGGGGAGAGAATCAGAATCCATAGCATCTGCTCAGAACGGGGACTGGTGGTGCTTATCTTCCCCTTCTCTTAACACAGCAGTATTCCTGTGAAAAGCCAGACCAGAATCACAAGTTTTATAACTAAATTATAAGCTAGCTTATTAAGTTTTCTAACTTACTGGTTCCTTGCCAATCCAAATCGTCTATTTGGATAAAAGACTTCAAAAGACTTATTTTAAAAATTATGCTAGAATCAGCTTTAGACAAAACAACTTGGACTCTCTTTGTAGACTTAGCTAGCTTTATGTTTTAATTAGGGAAAAAATAAAGCCTATCATGCTTTTCTAGATTATGCATCCCTCTTGTTGAGCAGTCACATTGGCATTTGAATGACATTTGATGTTTTCATGGAAGGCTGAGGAGCCTTAGACAGCAGAAGACAGCTGACGGGAGGAATTCCAGTTTGCCCTTGTCAGCCTTATTTGCTCTCTGGTGATAGTATTTTTCACTTCCTTTTTGCTTTTTAGGACATAGCACGTCTTTTGCAAGAGAAGGAGCTACAAGAAGAGAAAAAGAGGAAGAAGCACATTCCAGAGCCTTCTGGGGGCTGTACTTTTGGGGATAACTACTATCATGAAGATGGAGGTAACAGCCGGTGCCTGTGTCATGACCTACCAGTCCTTACCCCAGCTACCAAACTCCTGTTTCAATTGGTCCACAACGTCTGCTCGGGACTGCGGGAAAGACGTGATCTTATCCCAGACCCTGGGCACATGTAGATTCGTGGCAGTGTTCTGTTTGAGTTTTAAATTTATATTCTACTTTATTTTAATGAATAGCTGTATTTCTTATTTATTTAATGGCCATGTTTTTACTTGGAACTTGAATATGGCTTTGTAACACTAATGCACTCTTGGTGCTGAAGCCATTGTAGTGTTGTGTTAATTACAAAATAATTAATATGGCAAATGGCAGGTACAGTCTGCATTGACACTTTCCTCAAAAAGTCTGAGCAGCGCTGTTTGAATAGGAAGGTGCATCATGCGTCAGTCACTGGGCAAAGGAGCCTTCTTCACCCTGCCTTCCCCTCTGATTGCCTGCAGTACCACTGTGGAATTTACTGTCAGCTGTGGCCTTGATGATTTCCCTGGTTTGATTAGCCTGTAGAATTGGGAGGAAAGAGTTCCGTGTGTGTGGTGCTGCTTTTCATCGTGGTGCTGATGGTGGCGGTGGGGACTATCTCAAAGTGTGTTGGGAACAGAATATTTGCAAATACAGAACATAGTTCAGCTCTTTTAAAGATTTGTCAGATGAAGAAAATTTCTTCTAGCTTCTTGTCTTCCTGATTATTGAGGTCCAGTTTCAAGACTGTACTTCCAGGGATACCAATGAACAAAATTAAAGATAGCCTAGACAATAAACATTTACTACAGGGCCTTGAAACCCGATCATCAGCTGCTTTAAAAATTTTTTTATCATGTAAAAGTATGTCTTTCCCTTAATGAGCAGACTCAGTTTATGTATAGGTGGTAAGATTATTGTAGTTTGAGAATAATGTTGCTCAGTCAGTTTTTCTTTTCTTTCTTTTCTTTTTTCTTTTTTTTTTTTTTTTTAACTAACATGAATGTAATTGGTTAGCAGTCAACTCTCTGGCTTATTTGGGAAGTAGCTTGATGTCTTCCTACATAAATTCAGTTCTTTTTAAAGAGCTAAAATGCTCATTTTTCTTCTGAAATTGCATCTTACACAAAGAAAGAAGGTTGTTACCATTGTTTTATTTTGTAGGAACCTTCTGGTTCCTACTTACTATTCTTTAGTGTCAAAATCTTAGAAATGCAGAATTTGTGTGGTAGTGGGTTTTGTTTATTTATTTTAAAATTTGCTTTTGAAGCATGCTCAGTATAATAAAATTAACTTCAATTTTTAAATTTTATTTTATGTTTTACATTCACATATGTCTGTGCACTGCATATTTCCATGGAGGCCAGAAGAGGGCCACAAATCATCTGGAACTGGAGTTAGAGATGATTGTGAGCCACCGTGTGGCTTCTGAAAATCAAACCTCAGTCCTCTGGAGAAGCAGCCAGTGCTAGCTACCACTTGAGCTGCCTCTTCATCCCCTCTGTTTTAAAATTAGGATAGCAGAAGAGTTAACTGAAATGTCCATTTTAGGTACTTGCATTAAAACTCGAACTAACTTGAGCTGGGACTCAAGCCTATGTGTTTGGATTACAGTACTAGTATCCTGATGCACCTTTATTGTAGGAGACGATTTAAACTTTTTGTGATTTTTCTTTAAGAATACCTAGAATTATATTTATTTTAGCTATCTTTCTAAACTTGTAGAGAGTGGAGTAGAATAAAGGCTTGTTTCAAGGTGCTAAGAGAATATTAAGGAATAGAAAATGTTGGCTCCTCCAAGCTTGTTTGGACAGTGGTATTTCTTTTCCTTTGGTGATGATGTGTGTTTTTGACTATACAGTTTCCCCTTATACATCCTTGAGTTGGCCCTAGTTGGGGCCCATGGGACTGTGCTATTCATCTGTCGTTACAAAGCAGCATTATGCTCTATGTCAGGATTCTTTCCCAACACACATGATCAATTCTTGGATTCTGCTTTACCTTTTAATAGAATCTGATTTTTGCCTTTGTTATTTAATAATCACAGTATATCAATGCTGTCCTTTCATCTTTTGCTATATATATAAGCTTTAATAAATCTTAAAAATGATTATCTATAGATTTTAAATTTTAAATTATCCAAAATATTTGTGAATGTTCATAGAAAAATAGCATAAATTATTCCTTTGTGAATCCTCTTTCTCTTTAAAGCCACTTGCCTGGTATCATGTTCATATTTGCGATTATTTCTAAATACATGAATAACCTTTGAAGACTATCACTCTAGTCCCTTAGGACAATTTGCATTTTGACAAAGGTACTTACTCTGACTTCTCTAAGGCATTTTTCTCATCTGTAAAATGAAGTTACAAAAATATACTTCTCATAGATTATGAAAAGATCAAATAATGTAGTTTTGATGAGTGACTTGTAAACTTTAAAGTTATATATATGTGTGTATAAATATATATAGTGTATATATAATACATACACAGACATAACATTTGTATTTTGTTTCAACAAAATCTTACCTTGGATGACAAATATGGAGACACACTTAAAATGTAGACACATATGTGTATATGTATGTGCCATCCATATCACACAGATTGCAATGAAAACATAATTATACTTGACAAATAACTTGGTCTCAAGAACATCCAAATCTCTTTCTGCAACTAGAATGGTTGGAATAGGTTCAAGCAGAATCCCTCACTGTGTTCTCTCCTACCCCAGATTTAAAGATGCCATCACAGAAAATAAAACTACTATCAGTTAACTGTTTAGGAAGAATTAAAAAAAAATCATAGTCTCATAGTTTATCTCCAAACAAGTTCCTTTGTGTTTGCTCTGAGCTTCCCGATGGACTCCACTCATAGCGCCCCCTGAACACACTGGTAAGCCAGCCCTCTGAATGCGGCCATCATTTCATACCTTGTCAGTATTACATTAATTCTGGCAGCCAGGTAATTCTTTCTCTGTTGTGAAGACAGAGTTAACAGGAGTTAAAAGAGCAGGGTGTTTTTTTTTTTTTTTTTTTTTTAACTATACAACTTGTTAGGCTTCACTTTTAAATCAAGTACAAATTTGATTCTGAACTATGGAGAAAATCATTTAATAAGGATCTGTTAAAGAAAGCAGATTTTACTCTAGACCCACCTTTGAAGGGAAGTTCTTTTTCTTTAAAAAATGTAAAAGAAACCTAAGGTTGTTGAGTGGAGGCTATTTTATCAGTATTGTATTTAGCATACTTTCCTTCTTTATATATATAAAGCACTTTTACATACTTTCTTTATATTACAGGCAAAACACACAACCTGACCAAGACCCCTTAAGAATGCCTGCTCGTGGAAGCTGTTTTAGTATTCAGCAAATGCCTGATTATAGCAAAGAACAGCTTAGTTATCTGAGCATTTTTTTTATGGAATGAAATTTGTTTTTACTATTTCTAAAGTATAGTAAAAAGCTTTAGGAATGTTACAGTTACACTGGTCTTGCAAAATGCTCACTAATTTACTTTCTTGTTTTTATAGTATGCTTGGGCCTGATAAAGCCCCACAAAACCACCCATTTGTATGTAGGTTTTTTTTTCTTTTAAATTGGAGAATTTGCATTTGTAGCTTATACTTTATGTTTATATTTAGAAGACAGTATGGATGTTTTTAAAATGTATTTGGAAAATGACACCTGTTTATGTCATTCCCATTCCAAATGTCATTACCATTTTAGCTTTTTCCTTGATAGGATTCAACTAAAATGAGGAACAGAATTACCTCAATATAACAAGTCATTTACTTTAACATTTTGCTCTACTCTGTCTTCCCTCTACATTAAACTAGAACCCAGGCTGTCCCAGAAGTATCTGGAAATGCTTGTTTTGAACACCTGGAGGTTGGAGGTAGAGGGTGGAGATCTGTTGTCATTTTGAACTAAGCAGAAGTTAGGAGCATTGTACTTTATCTTACCATCACTTCGGTGAGAATGCTTAGAAATCTACAACTGAAATCTCATCACTGTTTTATAAGACTTTATGACCTCTAACTGGTAGCACATATTCTAGCTGCAGATTGACTTCAGAAAGTAGAATTTGATGTTTGCTGTCTGTCTTAGGGTTTCTATTGCTATGAGGACACCCTCTGGCTATGGTAACTCTTATAAAGGAAAACATTACATTGGAATGACTTACAGTTTTAGAGGTGTGATCCATTATCATCATGATGGGACCTGGCGGCATGCTGGGAGACATGGTGCTGGAATGGAGCTGAGATTTCTACATTTTGAATTGCAAGCAACATGAAGTGACTGGTCTGAGATGTTGGATTTGGCTAGAGCATATGAGACCTCAAAGCTTGTCCCTCCAATGACACACTTCCTTCAACAAGACCACACTTCCTAATAGTGCCACTCCCTGTGGGGGCCATTTTCTTTCAAACTACCACACAGTCCATCATTTTGTTATTGGCATTATAAAGTAGGATTTGATGATGTTGTTCATCATTTGTTATCAGCAAATATGAACGTGCTAAGCTCTCCCTAATCATGATCAGATTCTTTATGATTCAAATCATTTCATTTAAATTTTGCTTTTACTTCTTTGGCTATATCTGCATGGACCAATCCAGACAGTATTCATCTTCATATCTCAATTTGTGAAGTTTCACAGCAATTTTATACACCTAAAATATGATAATATTGAGTCCCAAATTCCCTGTGTAATGAATTTATACTCTCATTAAGTTATCCATTTTATTTTTATACCTTCTACCTCCACTCAGACCAGCCAAGGTCAAGGAGGGCCAGGGAAATGGGAAACTCAAGGTTTTATATACTCCAAAATGATGGAAACACTGTAAAGCAGAAGAAGGGGAAATCAAGGCATCTGTTGGAGAAGTTGGAAGAGATGGAGGAACCATGTTCATCAGAGAGATCTCTGCCTTCTAGCTCAGGCAGAGGGAGGGGTGATGCCCAGACTTCCAGTGATCAGCATGAAAGAAAGCAGACTGGTCAAGAGAGGCTCCGGAAACCTCCACTTCCGAAGATCAGTGGTGAGGTATTTCTGAGCACTGACTCTGATGACTGGGAGGCTAAGAGTAGCCCTCGAACTCGGAGTTGGGAAAAACAGTCCCGACACCATGGCAGACTTTCACCCAAGTCTTTACAGAAAACAGGGCTTCCCTCTGATGAAATTGTGTGTGGGAGGGAACTTGGGCAAGGTGATCACAGAGAACGGAGAAGTAAGCCCAGGACTCCTCCCTTCTCAGAGGATGAAGAACTTCGACACCACCATGATGCAGGTAATGGGTCACCTGTTGGGATTCCTGTATGTAAAGCCAGTCAGTGCAGTAAGCATTATACGCAACCTTTGTCTCTCCAGAATCTTGGAGCCAGGTACTGTGTGAGATTCCTACTGATCTTAGGTCTCCAGAAGGAGGAAATACCTGTACTGTTCTCCCTTAAGAGCATGCTGTGTTGGACGGTTCTCCAGGGCCAGGTTGCAAATACTAGTCGTTGTTTGCCACAGCCTTGCATAAGATACTCTGATTTTAAATTGAAAATTCTTTAATTTTTGGTTTTAATTAAGCAAACCAAGAAGATCTGGTTGTAATTGACTTCTGTGTTTGTCTGCCAGTGGGAGGAGAAGTACTTTATCTCTAGACCTCATCTTTCTCATCTGTAATGGAGACGTCAGCAAGGCTTTCAAATCTGGACATTTATCATTTTTATCAAAGGTGCCTAGGGTAGGATATTTTTTAAATCTGGACATTTCTGAGTTCGTTTGGACTATTTTAAGCCTATAAGTGACACTTTCATAATTAAAGCTTAAAAATCATAGTTTTAAGTTACCTTTTATGGTTTAACATGCAACTCTTAATTGTGCACACTTCTTCTAAGTGCCAAGATACACAAGTTCTCAATACCCATACAGAAACAAGAGGGTAAGAGCTGGGGAGATGGCTCACTTACTACATGAGTTTGAGAACCTGAGTTCAAATCTAGAACCCATAGACAGGTCAGGCAGCCTTAGCAGATACCCATAATCTGAGTGCTCAGGAAACAGTGGTTAGTCTCTGTAACACACTGGATAGCTACCATAGCCAGAAATAAGTAGTTCTGGATTCAGCAAGAGAACTAGCTTCAACACATAGAATTGAGAGAGAACAAGAAAATACCCAATAACTTCAGGGGACCATACACACATGCATTAACACTGCACACACTCATATATAAGTATACTTTCATACCATATAGATACATGCAAGAAATAAAGTTTAAAAAGACAAAATTAGAATAAAAATAAGAAATGAATGTGTTCAGGAAATACCTCTTAAGTTTTGGCAGCCCTGAAGCTTGATCTTATAGTCAGTCTATCATGGACACAGTAACGGCACTGTGTGCTGTCTGGGACATGCTGAGGGAAGGCTTTCCTCGTGGCTACTACACTGTCGTGACAGCTGTAATTAATAGACATAGCATTCACCATTTTGCCTTCAGTCGGTGATTACTGAATTGTACAAAGATGGAAAGGTTTCTGTGGTACAACTATCAAGGAGCACCCACTGTGCTCTACTCACGCCTTGCTGGTGATTGTAAAGCTAGTTTCTAGGCTGCAGATTCATTCTGACTCTGCTGGCTTTCTTATCGTATCTCACATGAAAAGGTCTTGGTTCTGAGGGCAGATGCAGAGATGGGGAGACAATTGGGATCCAGATGCATGCTGTGAAATCCATAAAGAATAAAAGTAAAAATAAAGTTAATAAATAAAGGATTTGGTTATAAGAAAAAGAAAATTTTAGTTTAGCAAGCTGTACTGGATACCACATATGTTGTTTGAGCCTTGTGCCAGAGTCTAACTTCAGAGACAGATGGATGTATTTAAAGACAGATACATAAACATTTTCATATTTGATGCATCATGTTAGGAAGACATGAACAAAGAACTGGGAGAATAGAGAAGAGGTTGCTGGTATTCATTGAGTAGGCTGATGGGGAAGTTACACTGTGGCTGGATTGAGAATGCTGCCCACAGTTCCATGAGGTATGGGAGGAGACTTGGTAATTCCATGGTAATTCCATTGACTTCTACATTTGGAATCTGAACCTGATGTGAATGTGCTCAAAAGACCAGTTAACCTTTAGAGCACTTAATCATCTGCCAGGGTTTTTAAAGAAGTTGGGGGACCTGAAACTAAGCACCTACTTAGTCTTCAGTAGTCCTGGAGCTGTAATAAAGGTTTGCTCTGCTAATACAGGGTGTAGAGAACAGTGTGGGTATAGCTACTAAGATGATTTCAGTGGGAACTGCTTAGTACTCACCATTTTCTACTCAGCCTGCTTTAAACCGTTCTCTTTCCAGTTCCTGTTGGTATTTGATTTTGAACTTGGTCAGGAGATTACATTAAGAACTAATAATTAGGTACTGGTGTCAGCCCTTGCTATTGAAAATGGTTACAGTTCTTAACGATGTGGTATATGCCAGATTCCTTTTCAGTTATTGATGACTAAACTAGCAGGATAGGGTAACACACTGGGTCCAAGAGCGTTTGCAGAATAGGGGAGCAAGAAGGCAGCAGAAAATGGAACAGCTAAGATAAAGTGAGAATTGGTTGGCTTTCCATGGAGCAGTTAAACTCTGTCTAACTTTGAGAGGAGCTTATTGTGCTTACATCTGTGACAGCTTATTGTTACACAGGTTAGCTTACACCTTCCAGGGCCTTAAATACGCATGCTTGTATCCCTTGTGAATACTGAATCAGATACATTGTGACATGCCCTAAATGTCAAATAGCTTCTTTTTTTTTTCTTTGCTTCCCCCACCCCATCAGACAGGGTTTCTCTGTAGCTTTGGAGCCTGTCCTGGAACTAGCTCTTGTAGACCAGACTGAACTTGAACTCACAGAGATCCTCCTGCCTCTGCCTCCCGAGTGCTGGGATTAAAGGCGTGTGCCACTACTGCCCGGCCATACCACCCTGAACGTGCCCAGTCTCGTCTCAGATGGCTTCTTATGATATATGCATATGCAATACCAAAATCCCATCAGTTACATTTTGTTTTAAATCATACTCAGTATAAATTTATCTCCAATACTAGCATTTTTAGTTTTTCTTGGTTACAGGTGCATACCTCTATTCCCAGCACTTGGGAAACAGAAAAAGGAGGATCTCTGTGAGTTGAAGGGTATCCCAGTCTACATGGTGAGCTGTAGGTCAGCCAGGGCTACTTAGTTTAGTAAGACCCTATCTAGTGAGCTCCATTCCCATTTATCTTACTGCATCAAATTTTATTTAAACAGAATAGTTCTTCTGTGTTTCCTTTGGTACGTCATTGTGTTCTCCAGTTGTAGAATATTAACTGTATGTAAACTGGAGGTACTGCTCAGGTAGAGCAGTTGCCTAGCATGGTCATCTGCAGCACCACACACCTAGGGAAAGAGGAAGGAGATAGAGAAAGAAGGGAACAGCTGAGATGTGGCCCCTCTATTTAAGAACAGTTTCCAAATTCTATTTAGAGTGCCAACATATTCGATTATCTCTGTTTTTATAAGGATGACTTTAATGCACTATATACTTATAAACGTCTCATCACTTTGAATCTGGAAGACACTGTAGTTGGAGGCTCCTGCCTCTAGAGAGATCCATTGTCTTAGGCACTGTAGCTGGGGAGGCGATCCTGCCTCTAGAGAGATCCATTGTCTTAGGCTCTGGGCGCCTCTGTGGAATGAGAACTGCAAATACTGGTAATATGCGGATATCTGAGTAAACTGTCATCCTGGTAGCTGGGCCAGAGAGAGATGGTGGTTCAAATTCGGATTTTATTAATGGACTCTGGTCTTTATAGACTGATAATAGTTATAATTTTATCATCCTGTCAGTACAGTAGCACTATTCATTTAACTACATCTTTGTTAGAATTTAAACTGATGTTTCTATAGTTAATTTTGTTACATAGGAGGCCACACTGTTGGGAAAATGTTGGATATTTTGAAAGTTGAGTGTATCCATTTGTAGCATTTCAGTAGGTAAAAAATCAGGCATAATCTTTCATCTGCAGCGAGGCTTTAGGCCGTTCGCTGAACCCTTTTCCTTTCTGTAGATTGGAGTATGGTACAACAATTCATCCATTCACTGACTTTACCCATTGTCAAGTCCCTATTTAAGTTTAGTTGTTTTCTCTAAAATCTTCCTTTCTAAATATGGTCATACAAATCATAATTCAGACAAGTGTAATACCCAATTGCATATTCCCTCTTCTTGAGACTATCCCAAACCAGTCAGAAATCTGGTGTAAACTAGGCCAAACCAGCATAGGATTCAATACCACTAGAAGTGATTTGTGATGATCTGGTTAGTCAGGTCCTGGGAAGTGTGAGTTAAGAAAGGCAAGGTTTCTCATCGTTTTTATGATAACACCCACACGCATAAGTCTCTATTTTAAATTTACCACACTATTCAGTAGAATGTCTATAAAAATAATTTCATAACATAAGCAAAATTATCTAAATATAATTTACTTTCATGTATGTAGATGTGTTAGCAGCTTGTGGTTAAATGTAATTAGATATTTTGCTAACTATTTTAATATATGCTTATCTTGATGGCATAATGTTCTTAGCCAGTGCGTCCCTGTTGCTTGAAGATAAGAGTCCATTGGAAGGGCTTAAAATAGATGCCCCAAGGCAAGAGCTCACCCAGCCTATTCATGTTAGAATACATGGTGTCGGGATGGTGTTTTAATATTGCTCAAGCACTCATAAGTCATTCTAGTAAGTGATAGTGGCTTTGACTAGTAGTACAGAGAGTTTATCTGAGTAAATTTGGAGTCAGACGCGCTACCGTTGCGCAACGAGGTCTATCTAAGTAAATTTGTATCCCTGTAGTGTTCATTTACTGATGGTTATGCTAGATGTCTGATCTATGACTCCCTTAAAAGGATTTATTATTTCTGAGGGCAATATATTTATCTTGTTGACTAACTGTAACCTATAAAGGTATACAAAGAGAAGTATCTACAATTTTGAAATGAGATTAACTTTTGCCTTATTTGGAATTTGTAGAAGGCCATGTGTGTTCCTATAACACAGCAGAGTACAGAAGCACAATTGTCAGTCAATTCTCTTCATCCCTCTCTCTCCAGAGGAGCACAATTCTGAGGCCATTGCACTTTCTGATATTCTTCCATGTTATGTTTTCCCTAAAATGTTTTACTGTCAATAACAGACGGGTCAAAGTTGTATGAAAGATCTAGAGCAAATGGTTCTGTGTATGCAACAGAGGGAAAGCAGGGTCATTCTTAACACGTTTTCTCCTTACTTGTAAATGGCCTTTCTATTCTGCAGGGAGATGAATAGCTACAGGACCTGAGAGGAAGCCTTTCTCTTGGTTGTCTAAACCACATTAAAACTCTGATTCTGAAACCTTCTTTTCTCTTAAATGTTTTCATATTCAGTGACTATGTTTTTTCTTTTGGGTTTCTGTTTTGAAGACTTGTTTTTGTTCTGGTTTCTTGTATGATTTTGTACTGTTGCAGAAACTGAGAAATGTTTCTACCAGGCAGATTTTGGGAAGTAGCTTTGTTAAAATGTTTGAATTGTGTGTGTTATTATTTCTATTCCTGGGAAAAAATCATTTTAAATATTAAGATGTCTTTTTTTAAATATTTTTATCTTTTTAGAAAACAGCCCCAGTTACCTCATTGAATTGAATTTTTTCTAGGAATGAAACCAAGAGGAATAAAAGAAGCTGTCTGTCCTCCCACACGAGTGAGCCCCAGGGACCAGGAATGGTATGATGCTGAAATTGCCCGAAAATTGCAAGAGGAAGAACTTTTGGTGGGTACATTTAAGATAAAAGTTCAAGCGAAGTCATAGGGCTGTATGTACAAGCCAAATCCCAATTCAGTTTTATACTAACCGTAAAGAGTTCTGCTGTTGGCATTACGGTTCCGTCAGTTGAAAAACTCTTGTTTTTTTAAGGGTGGGGAAATCGAGACAGAGGAAGGGGAGTAGAATATCACCCCACTTATCCATGCTTGACTTTCTATAGTTTTTGGTTATCTGTTATTAAAAATAAGTACTTTAAGTACAATAATATGAAAAGTGGTATCTTTCATTATTGGGGTTATTAATTTTTTTCCTTGATTGATTTGTAAATTAAACCATTTTTTAAGTTTGTATGTATAGAAAAAAACTTCTGTAGGATTTGCCACTATCCGCAGTTTCAGTCCTTCACTTAGGCTATAGAATGTGTGTTATCAGATAAGGAAGCCTTTTCCATGTAGCTGTGTAGATTGATAAGCATGAGCAACAGAACTCCATAGCCTGATTTTCTGCATTGATAAATGTTGGTAGTTCTCTAAGAATATTTTGTCGAGTGAGTTGCTCAGTCCCTTCATTGTGGCCGGTGAAAACGTGCCCACTGGCCATCAGCTTCAGGGACTCAGCTACAACTCATTTCAAATTCCAATTTCTTTTCTGTAAGATGTTTTAAATGGACAGCACAGATTACAGTTATTTGTTGTGCTTCTGGTTCACAGGCTACCCATGTGGACATAAGAGCGGCTCAGGTTGCCCAGGATGAGGTCAGTTCATATTAATGAGATCGCCCTATATCGTGAGACACAACCTCAACCTGTAACTAATGATATTGCCCATATCTTAGGAAATTGCTCGACTTTTGATGGCTGAAGAAAAAAAAGCTTACAAGAAAGCTAAAGAGCGAGAAAAGTCATCTTTGGACAAAAGAAAACATGATCCTGACTGCAAGGTAGTGTGATGCCTCTTCAGTTTTGCTCCTTTTTTTTTTTTTTTTTTTTTAAGATTTATTTATTATGTATACAGGATTCTCAGTATTCTGTCTGCATGTATGCCTGCAGGCCAGAAGAGGGCACCAGACCTCATTACAGATGGTTGTGAGCCACCACGCGGTTGCTGGGAATTGAACTCAGGACCTTTGGAAGAGCAGGCAATGCTCTTAACCTCTGAGCCATCTCTCCAGCCCAGTTTTGCTCCTTTTAAGTCACAGTAAAATGAGAGATTAAAAACAGGACTCTGCCCTTAGGGTGAGCTCTAAAAATCCATTTTGGATATGTAAAAAACTGCATTACATACATGACTAATATGTCATGATTGTTTCATAATGGAAACATTGAATTGGTACTGCTCAGACTGTGAGGCTCACTTTGATCATTTTCAGTCCGAGAGTCAGGGACAGGAGTCCGTTTTCCTGGGCTCATGCTGTAAAAGGAGGCCCAGTTTTCACCTGCTTTACAAACTGCCGCAGTGAGCTGCATTTGCCCGCTTCCCCAGGCGCCTGCATTGTGCCTCTGCCCTTGCACAGAACTTTCTCTTCGTGTTTGGTGGATGAAGGACTGGAAAGCAAGTGCATATTCCCAGCAACCATTGCTTGTATCTCAGGACAAGAACATTTTAGCAGGACCCGGGACTTTACCTCCTTAATCAGAAGGAGTTGTGAATCATCGTTCTACTGTGAATTAATTGTATTGCAAGTTCAATTTAACAATCAGTATTCGTGCTCAAGGTACCACTGGGACCAGTGTAGAAACAGTGAGAAGAAGACAGTTGTCTGGGTGCTGATGGTAGGGTATGCTGAAGGGGTGGAGACCAGAGCATCTCTAGAGTGAGACAAATCACAGACTACATACAGTGCAAAACATACAGTGTAGAAGAGCAAGCAGACAGGAGTTAGTGAAGTAACACTCTGGAAAGCAGTTAGTACCAGCCTGGGAACATGTAGCATCGAGTCTGTACTCAGGACACACCCAATCTCTGCACTGTTTTCTGTTTTCCTCTTCTAGGTCTCTGGGCCTGCCTCATAGTTTCTGTAATTATTATGAGGGGAAATAACCTTGAACCTGTACTGATAATATCACTTAACCCATTTTTCTTTGTTTAGTTCCTAATTATTAGCATCCTGCCTTTTGCAGTTTCCATATTCTGTAACTGGTACTGGTATAAGTCCTTTCTTAGACAATTGGACTTGAAATGTGCTTTACTTGGCTGTTTGGTCATGAGTCAGATATATAGAGAAGAGCTTAAGATCTCAGATCCAGATTCCATCAACTGTGTCTTCTGGATCTGATCAGCTGTGTGTGCCTGTGAGAATCACAATGAGTGCAGCAAACACATGCGTGTCTGCGTGTGTTCATGGACACGTGCATGCAAGTGTGAGTGTGTGGTGTGTGAATGTTCAGTGTGTGATCCACTCATCTACACATGCCTGTGTGGATTGCGAGTGTGTATGTTTATAAGTGTGCAGTGTTTGACCAACTCAATCTGGTCACCTACTTATCTACACATGCCTGTGAGGACTGTGCGTGCGTGTGTGTATGTGTGTGTGTCTGTGTACGCGCGCACACACACACACACACCCAGGAAAACTACCAGACCATCGTGTCTGTCAATTTTTGGCTTGAATGACTAAATACAAAATATTTTTATGTTATTCGGCTAAATGTAGCCTGAAATTCCTAAAGAACAGCTTGCTGGAGAATAGCAATTTTCTGAAGTTCACCTTTACTGTTCTTTGGTCTTTTTTCTGCCCGCAGTCAAAATCAAAGTCAGCACACTCAAAATCAAAAGAGAGTGAAGAAGCATACCGTTCCAAGACTGACAGGCCGTCAAGGTAAGATGGCCCCTGGAAAGGAGTAAGAGGGAGTTAGCTTTGGAGTGGTGAGCACACATCACTTGTCTGAGAAGACAACTGTTCTTTCCAGCAGAGAGCCAAAACTACAACTGGGAGGTAGCTTCAAGTGTCACAGGGTTACTCTCAAACTATGTTCAGAATCTTATATTGGAATGAATGAATCATGTAGGCAGTATTTATAGTAACACTGGGGTAGAAGGAGATTTCTGTTTTTTATTTGGACTACTTCTTGGCATTTAAAGTCTTGTGCCCTCAGCTAGAGAAAGATGAGATTAACCAATTTCTAAGTTAAAATCTGAGATTTTAAACTTTGGTTGAGGCTGAGAAGATAGCTCACTAGATAAAAGCATTTGTATATGTTCAGGTAATGTGTTGTCTCTCTGTGTGTATTTGTGTGTAGTTAATTGTCATGGTGCAGATTGAGTCTCACTAGGAAAGTAGCTGGCTGAGCTCAGTGAACACAATCACAGCATGGAGGAGTTGCTATCTGGAGAAGCAGGCTTTTTTTCCTTATTTATATTGCCTTTTCAGAATGTTTCATTAAAATATGAGGAAAAACATTAACTATGGAAGGATGGCATGGGGAAGATGGGAGAACAGTAAAAGAGGTTTGATTCATGGAAATTAATCTATAGTTAAATAGGGACAAGAAGCTTTGGTATTTAGCAGGAGCGAAACTATAAATGACAGTTGTGATTTGTGTATTTCAAGTCCCTAGATGAAAGTATAGAAAAAATTTCACTGTAAAGAATGCATAGGGTCAGAGAGCTCCTGGCTTCAGTTCCTAACCACCACATGGTGTCTCACTACCATCTGTAATTTCAGTTCCTGGGGACCTGATGCCCTGTTCTGGCATATGTGGGCAATGAGTATGCAAGTGGTGTACATCATACATGTAGGCAAACACTCATACACATAGATGAGAATAATGCACCTTTTAAAAAGGAAGTTATGGGGCTGGAGCAATGGCTCAGTGGTAAAGATCAATGGCTTCTCAGAGGACCTGAGTTTGATCCCCAATACCCACATGGCAACTTAGAACTATGGGATCTAACACTCTTGGCCTCCAAAAGCACTGCTGCCTGTGTTTAACAGACGTGTGTGAAAGCAAAAACACCCATATGCACAAAGAATAAAATACAATAAGTATTGTAATAAAAGCAATAAAATAAATAATAAAAGAGGAGATAGTTATGTTTAATCAGATTTGCATGATAGAAAACACTCATGTATATTGAATTATGTTACCTTGTAAATATGTTCTATTTTTATATTTTTACATATGCATTAAAATTAGTTTAGATAAACAAGTAGGGGCTGGGATATAGCTTGGTTTGTAGAAGTGTTGCCTAGTATAAGAGAAACCCTGGGTTTGGTCCCCGCACTGTCTAAACTGGACATGGTGGTGCTTGTGTGTTGATCCTAGCCAAAGGGAAATGAAGGAAGAAAATCAGAAAGCCAAGGTTAGTGTTGTGTATACAGCATGTTCAGTGTTCAAGCCAGGATACAAGACACCAGGTCTCGAAGAAAAAATAAAAAAAGAGGAAAGGAAGCAAATACACTTGTAAAATTTTAAATACCCTAAATTAGTAATACCTTGACTTTTAATCCTGCACACATGTGAATGTGCCTCAGCACACACATGAATAGTAACACAAGTACACACAACATATATAAAATATATATTATACTATATATTTTCTATTTTTAAAATATATATCATATATTGTGTATATATATAGGTAAAATTATTTTAAAATGTAACTTTAAGCTTATGTACGTTCAAAATATAAATACCTTTCAGAAACCAATATGAATTTATATTGCTCTGAGGACAGTAGTAACATAATTTGTGTAAAATCTGTTGCTCTTTAGCTTTTGCTAAGCACATACAGGATGTTTACATTTGTAGTTCTGTATATTCCTACAGTTTCCAAGCAAAGATTCAGTCTGTTCTCAGGAGGTAAATGTCTGGTTTTTGTTTAGTCACATGAGTTCACATCATTTTTAGGGGTATTTTTGTTCAGCCTTCAAAGTCTTTTGCCTCTTTTGAACATTAATATCTTTGATGGTAGATAAAATAGGGCATGCTGGGGTGGCTGTTTTTAAAGGGTCATTAAAATTAAAAACAAGTTTGTAGAATATAAATAGGGTCTCTGAAGACTCCTGGGCATATTGGAAGTGAACAGCAAAATGATCTTTTAAAGTGACTGTTAAGAATTATTGTGGATTTGCACAAACAGATTCTTATGTCTCCTTTGTAGTGAAAGGAACACTCATTCTAAATATTATTTGATAAAATGTTATGTGAAACCAAATATGGATTTTATAAAACATTATTTTAACATATAAAGCCTCATATGCTTAACAGATTTGTGACCGCATGCATTTTGCATAGCTTCTGTTTCCTCTTTCATTTTTAATCATGATGGAAAGGTTGGGTAGGTAACTATTTGCATAGACAGTTAATATAAAATGTAAGAGGACATGGGTTTCCATGATCATTCTGTAATACTTCAGCTTAGCAGTGGACCAGTCAGCAACAACAGCAACAACAAAACAAATAACAGATTCTCATGAAGAGCTTGGAGCATCTGTTGTCAATGTTCCCATTTCTTTTTTTTTTTTTTTTTTTATTATTATTTATTTTTTTATTTCTTTTTTTTTTTACTTTTTTTTTTTATTGAGGAAAGGAAAAAAAAAGTTTCCGCCTCCTCCCAGCCTCCCATTTCCCTCCCCCTCCTCCCAACCTTTTCCCCCTCCCTCTCTCCCCCTCCCTCTCCAGTCCAAAGAGCAGTCAGGGTTCCCTGCCCTGTGGAAAGTCCAAGGTCCTCCCCCCTCTGTCCATGCCTAGAACGTGAACATCCAAACTGGCTAGGCTCCCACATAGCCAGAACATGAAGTAGGATCAAAACCCCGTGCCCACCCCTCGTGGTCCTAACTTCCTTGCTCATGTTCTCCCTCCTTCTGCTCTTCATTGGGACCTTGGGAGCTCAATCCGATGCTCCAGTGTGGGTCTCTGTCTCTATCTCCATCCATCGCCAGATGAAGGTTCTATGGTGATATGCAAGATATTCGTCAGTATTGTTATAGGATAGGGTCATTTCAGGTTCCCTGTCTCAGCTGCCCAAGGAACTAACTGGGGACATCGCCTTGGGCTCCTGGGAGCCACTCTAGGTTCAAGTCTCTTGCCAACCCTAAGGTGGCTCCCTTAACTAAGAATTGTGCTTCCTTGCTCCCCTATCCAACCTTCCTTTATCCCAATGATCCTGTTTCCCCAAGTTCCCCCCATCCTCCCCGCCCTCTGAAGTTTCTGTCTGAAGTCTCTGCAGTGTGCACAGCACGCCCTCTGAAGTTTCTGTCTGAAGTCTCTGCAGTGTGCACAGCACGCCCTCTGAAGTCTCTGAAGTCTCTGCAGTGTGCACAGCACGCCCTCTGAAGTTTCTGTCTGAAGTCTCTGCAGTGTGCACAGCACGCCCTCTGAAGTCTCTGAAGTCTCTGCAGTGTGCACAGCACGCCCTCTGAAGTCTCTGACGTCTCTGCAGTGTGCACAGCACGCCCTCTGAAGTTTCTGGCTGTGCACACTGCAGAGACTTCAGACAGAGACTTCAGAGGGTGTGCTTGTGCACACTTAGGTCCCAGTGAGACTGAGGCAGGAGGAGGTTGTGTCTAAACCACTTGGGGAGAAAACTTGCCTAAGGAAAGAAAAAACAAAGTTTCAGCTCCAGGGATTTTATACTGAAAATGCTAGTTGCGATTTTAGTTTTTACCATAGAAAAGTCTAAATCTCTTGCAAGTCTCTTTTTATTTCTATCATATTCATAAGATTATCAATTATATTTTTCTACACTGAATCATCTTTTGATTACCCGAATACTTAGACCTCACATAAGTCTAGTTTATAGTCTAATGGCAATTACTTAGATCACTGTGCTGACTTTGTTAAGTGTCGTAGGTAAAAACATTGGGTGTGACAAGCCTAATGAGCCACATAGCCTGACTCAGGTACAGGCAGCTAGAGGATGAAGAACATTTAGCAATCATGCTAATTAAAAATATAAGTTCATAAGAAGAGAAGAAAGCAGGTAATTGTAATATAAGAATCACAGCATAAACTCTTTTCCCATCTTTAACCATAAGTATCACTAACTAACACAATCCTCTTCATTGCAATATAATAATTGTGTAGGAAACAGTAAGTCTAGATGTAGTCCTTGTACTGCCCTAGGAAATTTGCTATGAAATGGTCTCCCCTAATGGCTGCGTGAACAAGATCTGAACAATAGCAATATCAATGAACGTGGAAGTGGGCATCTTTTCCAACCCTAACCAAAGAATCACAGGCAACTATTGACTGCTGAGAGCCTCTCCCAGGGATGAGCCCCCTATTGGTTGTCCAGTGCAAAGTGGGCAGCTTGAAACCATATGTACACAAATGGACTCAGCAGACTATATTGTATATGTGTGTATGTGTGTTTGCATGTATGTGTACATGTATCCTTATGTTACATATGTAACAAATATAAACAAAGAAAAAGTGACTATCATCGAGAATGAAAAGGGACATGTCAAGGACTGGAGGAATGAAAGGGAAGGAAAAGTGATGTAAATCTATTTCAATTACAAATAAAATATAATTGAAAACAGCTGAGTGGAGCAGCATACCAACTCTGCATAGAACTGAGGGTGTCTTGGTGGAGTGAGTTGGTTGTCTCTAAGGATGTCCAGTGCTTTGTCTTCAGGTTTGGGGGTCCCTGGAGAGGTTTATGAAAACCTAAGGAGACCTCTCAGCTACAGTGATAAGCAATGCCCTTTTCTTGGTCTTGGCTCTAAACTTAGCTACTTTCTAAAGCTAAATCCTGAAATCACTTGTTCTGTCTCAGTTCTTCCTAACATGTCTTAATGTCACCTGGTAAGGTGTTGGGAATATCAGTCAGCACTGAGAAAACAATCCCGACAGAGTCAATATTGTACACACATGATTCTGAATGAAAGTATTGCCATTCTTACTGTGCGTTGTTTTCATGCATATAGCAGGAACAAAAATATTAAAAAAACAAAATTAAGAATGTATTTTCTACTGACATTTGAATGTTTGTGATACAAGGATGAAAAGATCATTCTAGCTGGCCCTTGGTGCTCACTCTGTGCTATTCTCTTTGGTTTGAGGCTGCACAGAGCACAGATGTTGATTGACCTCTTCCATTTCAAAATGTGCAGACACACATGTCATATGTGCAGGCACTGCTATTCCTGATGATACACATATGTAGGTAACTGTGTTGAAGCACTGCTTCTGGAATCTGATCCTGTTAACTGTGTTGTTGGTGTTTAACAAGTGTTTACACTTGGGTCAGCCACTCACCTCATCTGACCATGCTCACATGGACACTTACGTTGTAGTTTCCACATTGAGGATGTGGAATTCTCCCTGTACATACAAGTTGTCATTTTTTTTTTACCCTTCCCAGTACCCAGGAAGTGATTTCTCCTAGGGATAAGTGGAGAAATTCAAACATGATTGCTTTACTTTGTAGATTGATTACACAGGTAATTTTGTACCAAACTACAAGTTTTAAAACCTCAACATACTTATACCTTATGATTATACAAAAGATTCTATAATATGGTATGTGTGTGTACATATACCATTTGACTATACCTTTAGAAAATTAAACAGAATTGAACTGGTTCTTTTCATTTTCATTAATGCCAAATATTTGCAAAATTCTATTTTAATTAAATTAATAAATTTAGAATTTAAAAATTTCCTTTTGTTTCTCTTTAACATAAAACCTTGTAAACGAGTTGCACAGAGAGTACCATGTTTTTAAGATAAATTTTGCCACCTAGTGGACAAAGAACCACTGTTGCTTATAAACGGTCTCCCATTCTTGGTTGCTGCTGCCCTTTCTGACTCCTTTTCTTCTGTATTTAGCTTTATTAATTTATTCACTTCTTTTTTCCTGGATAGGATCTGGCAACATGAAGTAAAGGATTGGCAGGCCATACTTCATGCACATTTGCTTCCATCAGTACAATGCCTCACACATATTAGATACTGGGAGAATATGGTTAGTGAATTATAGGCATCAAGAACAGTAAGATAAAAATAATTTATTCAAGGACATGTAACTGTCCAGAAACTAAACTAAGAATTCTGACACACAGTAAAAAACTCATGCCGTGTTATTAGGGAAAGATGGAACTGTAGTAAGCATCACTTAAGAGTTTTAAATTTTCACTCCCTGCAGACCCCCACCACCTACAGGGATGGACCCTGTGGATCTGGACCACACGCATCTTACAAACCAGCACAGTGCCACTCGTCATTTCTCAAAGGCGGAGCCCTCACATAGAGGTACGGAGCATCTGTGAGGTCAAGCTGAGGTCCTGTAATAGGAAATGAAATCTGTCTTCCAGTTATGGCAGGGGAAAGCACGCTGTCCTACGCCGCCCTCCTCTCGTCCGTTACTAAACACCGCAAGCTAAAGTACTCGCTTTACGTGAAGCGCAGGGTGTTTGTGTCCTCCACGTGCAAGTCAGTGCTCTTTACCATATTAGTGGAGAGAATCGCAGCGCACTTAAATCCGTTGGAATGCTTTATATGCACAGTTTAAACAACAGAAATCTGAAGGCTGAAGCTTTTCAAAACTAACACATTCTTCAAACAGTTCCAGAGTTTTGGAGCATTTCGAATGTAAACTTTTCAGATTTGGGGTGCCTCAACTGCCAATATGTAGTCATATCAATTAAAAGTGAGAAATTAAGGATAGTCTGTGCATATGTTTCAGAGAAAAGTTCTGAAACCTAAAACAGTTTTGATTCAAGCATGTTGGTGATGTTCAGCCATCTCTGACAGTAGGAATTAGATTTACAGTGTGTACATATACATGCCACATAGCTTCTCACAGATGAAAGGTGCAGTAAAGAAGATGAGGAAGGAGATGGAGAACTATAGGAAATTAATAATTTTATAATAGAAGCATCGTTGGATGCATTGGTTTTCCCAGTATATACATACACTGAGATACACACACACGTTCATCAAAGTTACTCAGTGAAAGAGTTCTATTTTAACTTCCTTATCTTCAAAGAGTGGTAGTAAAATACATAGTCCAGAATTGTCAGTTACGAAAGAAGGCTGTGTGTGGTGCTATATTCCTGTAGTTCACACACTCCAGAAGCAGAGGTAGAAAGATTGGGAATGCCAGGCAAATATGAACTACATAGTGAGACCTTCCGGGGTGAGGGAGCGAGTGAGAGAAGTCTGCAGAGCAAGTTACAAATGTTAGGTCTTCATATTTGATGGAACTTCTTTGAAGATTTCTTAGGTGAAGTTTTTATCATTCTTTTTCATTTACTGATATTTCCAACAAATCTGATGTAGTGGAAGTAGCTTGTGGGTGTGTTCTTTCTCAAAGTTGAATCATTTGGGGGCAGGGTGTGTCTGTCTGTCCTCCACATACATTTGTTACAAAGTATTAGAGTGACAAATTGATTCTGTACATGAGATTTTATAAACAAAGGCTTTAAAAAGAACAAAGCAAAGAGGAACCACTTGAAGTGCATATAAATGAAGATGAATCTGGGGTAGGGGGATAGTGAAGTTTTAAACTTGCATCTTTTTTATTAAATTAAAACTTTATAGAGAACTTGCAAATGAAAGAAAACATTGCACAGCCAGATTCACCAAACCCAATGTTTATACACTGCAATGAGATAATATAGTAGTTAGGAAGCTTTCAGATTTGGAGTTTTACTTTCACTCTCAAGTATTTACTTTGCACTTTTTCACCATCAAAAAATGAAAAATCCGTGACAAAGTTAAAACTACAAAGATAGCTTTATATTTTTTCCTGATTCAAGTGCCCATTAGCTGCATTTTAATTGTCCTTCCTTTTTCTTCTTTCCCCAGGTTTCCATAATAAGCAGTAAAAGGAAACAAACAAAAAATGGAATCTGCCTTGAAAATGGACTTGCTGTAGCACATATGAACTGAACAATACCGAGTGCATTCCACATTGGCTGTCCTTCTGTGCCATTCCTGGAGTTACTCTCAAGTGTTTTCTAACTATAAACAATTTCAGTTCTCTTCACATGTTTTGTTTTTTCTGGTCACTTGGGCAGTGTAAGGAAATACAGCTTCTGAGTATTGGTCACCTCTTCTCTGAATCTGTTTCCTGAGACATAATTAGAACTTCACAAAATGACATTTGCCCGATATAGGATATCTACATTTAGGGACTAAGGTTTCTTTAACAATTAGAAGTGTGCAGAAATGGATTACCAAAAATCATAGCATTTTGATTCAAGAAAGTATAGTAAAGTATATGAAATAGCCGCTTAGTTGTTTATTAGTATGATGTTTTGAAGGATATTGTCTTTGGTTTTTATCCTCTTTAGGAAAAGTAAAATGACAACAATAAGATATGGGGGGAATGGCCAGAGCAGTGGAAGTCTGGAATTCTGAACACATGGGTCAGTGGAGGCTCTGGAGAGCCACAGAACCTGCTAGGCAGGTGGCTTAGGGTGTCATCCTTCAGCATTGTGCTGCTGCTCCCTCCACGGCAAGGCTTTCTGAGGCCCTTAATACATCATGTGCTAATATTTATTTGTAAAACTTTAATTGTCCAATCCTTTATGAACTCAGGTTCATAAAGAGTCACCTGAAAATTAAAGGAAAAAATAGCCTTTCATAGCTTTGGTTTTCCAATTTAATTGTGGAGCCAAAGGAAATAGAGCATTTTCCTAAGAGTTGACGCCATCAGTCTTATTTGCTGTGTAGGATGTAACAGTTTTTGTTGGCAATCTCTCAGTGATGTCTTTAGCACCTGTAATAATTGGGCTCATTCAACAGAAAGTTGAATTTGATGAAGTGAGTCTTTGTCCAGGTGTATAGTTCTGCTTCTGTGTTGATGGCCATTGTATTCCTTTCCACAGGACCTTTAAACTCCCCTTAAAACTTCAGTCTTTGTCAGGCTGCTAATTAATAGAAGTATTTATTTGCCCATACCACTTAGTTAATATAAATAGCAGCCAAGCTATGTCTGTATCTGATTGACAGTCTCCCAGCTAGATTTGCTGTTATTTTCATTGTATGGGTTTTTTTGTTTGTTTTTTTTTTTTTTTTTTTTTGTCATTTCAAGAAAATATAGTTTGCCATGAGATAAATAATTTAGGGACTGCCTATATTCCATTTGCCTTGTCTTTCCAGACTGTTTTAACCTTGGGGAGGATTCTGGGAGACTGTTCCCAACAGATTTTGATCACTGATTGTACACCTTTCTTTATAAAAGTTACATATGATAGAAATTTGAGTGAAGCTGTGGGCAAGAAACAGAGAAAGTGGTGCAGACATTTGGGAAGTGTGGAGGAGAGGGAAATTCTAGGCCTGAGTGCCATGAAGTACATATAGGAAAATCTTCCTTCAGTCCCATTGTGTACAATGGTTTCCATATCAAAACTTGTTGGCTTATGCTAATGCTGTATCTTTCTTTAAACTGCCCTGTGATTTTACATCATGTTCTTTAAAGATATTTTATCTGATAACCTTAAAGAAAAAAATGTAACTGCATTTTTATTTGATAATTAGTCAAAGCAGGCAATGTTTTTTTGCCATATTTCTGTTTCATAAATGTTTACTTTTGTATTTCATGAAATTATTATTTTTACTTTAAAAGTGCATTTTTTTTTTGCTTTTCATGGACTTCATTTCATCATATTTATTGTTGTAAAATGGACATATTACAGTTTAAAAAAAATGCCAAGCCACTTAATCAGAATGCTGGAGTCTTACCTGTGGTGGTGGATGGCCAAAGGAATATGGCCCATGTGATAGCCAGCTCAGCATCAGTATTGGAAAAAACGTTACTTTTCAAAGTTTTTTTTAAAGAGTAGAATTTTAAAATATTTTCTTTATTTTTTGTAAAGTGAACAGTTTTTAAGAGTATCAGTAATTATTTACTTATGACTAAGAAGATAGAAAAAATTTCTTAATTATTCTTAATTAATGTTCTCAAATTTTGCTATCACTCAGATAATGCGTTTTTGAGATGATAGGAACAGCTAATAGCTCTTAATGAACTGCCACTCTTCACTGTGGTTCCTGCTTTTTAATTATCATTTTTATATTAAAATGAATACATTTATTTTGTTCCTTTTGTTGTTGCAGTTTGATGCAGCTTAATTATTAGGTCTATACTGTATTATGTTTTTGCTGTCAACCTATAGACTAATTCTTTTGTTTCTAAATTTCTTTGTAGGTCTTGCCCTTATAGCCCCAGTATTACTGAATGAGCACAGAATGTTAAGGAGTCTCATCACAAGGTTACCTGACATGATGCTCTCCCCTTTCCTTCCCTAGAATTTTTTTAACTATTAGTTAGAAAAGAGCATAGTTAAAAGTCAGATTAAAAATTCTAACTTGAAAGAAAATTGATTCCAGTATTCAAGCTACTGTATTCAAGCTACTGTTAGTTATAATTGCTTTGTTGCAAAAATAGATAATTGCTTCTTTTGTTCTCAAAGAATATTGAGAACTTTTGGAAGTGACTTTGCATGTCATTGAAATGCTATGGGTCAAGTGATTTTTATAACAAATGGCAGTATAGCAATGAACTAAAAACCAAAACAGCAACAACCAAACTTTGGTTTTCTGGTCTTGAGAAACATCTAATTTAGGAAGAGAGATGTTCATAGATGTGCACCAGAAGAAACCTTTCCATAGTGAGACTGGTCACATGGACCTAGGTAACCATGTTTTAAAATATGTAACCTTTGTTTCATTGAATTCTAATACTGTTACAGCTTCTCTAAATCTCTTCGTGCCAAATTGAAAAAAAAAAAAAACTACTATAATATGGTGCGTTCATTTTGTTCACCACATAAGTGGTTAACATTTTATAGCCTTGATTTTTAATGACTAATGCCTTTGTATAAAACTCACTTGGAAAATATAAAGATCTATTATTCTTGATTTCTTGTGTTTAATTTTTTTTTTTTAATTTTGGTTTTTTGAGATAAGGTTTCTTTGTGTTACAGCCCTAGCTGTCCTGGAACTCACTCTGTAGACCAGGCTGGGCTTGAACTCAGAGAGACCCACCTGCTTCTGCCTCCCAAGTGCTGGAATTAAAGGTGTGTGCTACCACCACCCAGCTGTTCTTGATACTTTTAAAAGATAACTTCTGATTGGCTGAGATCATCAGTCTGATGATCATTCGAGGCCCATGCAGAAATCCTCAGAGGACAGACAGAATTCCATTTGAGGAGGATAGTGTTTGTTGGGGGAGCGTTGACATTGAAAGGAAACATTGCTCACCTTGATTTCACTGACTATGCTGTGTTATGTCTTGTAGCAGCTCTAAAAAAAATCAAAACCTGATCTTTCAGGGGAAAAAAAATGCTTTTTCAAGTCTATAATGTGTGTCTTATATGCTGCTCATAGCAGAGAAGTCACTCAAGAGTCCCCCCATCTTACTTGTTGGTGCCTGTGTGCTTCAAGAGCCATAGCTGTGTATCTGGTAACAGGCTGCTTGTTTTTTCCTGCCCTGTGGTAGGGCAATGTAGGCAGAGAGAAGCCTACTGTCTAGTGTCCTGTAAATGCTGCATGGAGCAGTATTATCCAAATATGTGGTGGAAGTTTTTTGTTTGGTTGGGTTTTATTATATGTAAGACAATTAAAGGGAAGACTCGGAGACTTTTGTTGCTTCTGCTGTGTAACTCATCAGAAATGCTCAAATTTACTTTTAAAGTCTCTAAGAAAGCAAGACTAAGCTATGAAAACATTAACAGAGTCACTTTTCTGATGAGCCCTGCACTTTATGTCAGCAATGTCTGTGAAGATCAGTTTTGCCTTAAATTACTTTCAGTCCAACAGAGGCCATTGTGTTTGGTGTATATGTACTCCTGTGATCTCTCCATTGACATACAATCCATAGAAGAGCCTCAGACATCATCAGCATCATCTGGAGCTTTGAGCTTCTTGCCCAGTACTTGGTTTGACTTCTGTATTAGATGCACTTCTCATTTCCGTGAGTAGTGCAGGCATGACCAGAAGCACTGCTAGGGGAGAATTCCCTGGCTGGAATATCCACACACAGTGAAAACTTTCTGAACAGTTGAGAGTTTCCTGTTCTTTTAATGGTGATTGTGCAAAGATATTCTAAGGGTTCTGTGGTTCAGTGACAAAATTAAGATTATTTTTAAGAATTTGAACAATTGTCTTTGTGTATTGGGATGCTTATTTACCATTAAAAAGAAAAACAGGAGAAAACCAAACAAAATGGAGACATTTATTAGACATGGTGATGTGAAGAGTTGTAGTTTATCACTTTTAAAAGAGAATTAGGCAGGAAACATTGCCTATGGTAGAGAAGATAGAAGAGCCCCTTTACCAGGCTGTGTTGGATGCCACAGACTAGCACAGTCAGGCAATCACATGTTTACCACTGAAAGCCATTTCTTTTCTCTTATAAATCCAAGTGCTACGGCTAAACATATTCATCATAAGTTTAATATGCATTTGTGCATTTTAAGCAAAGCAGAAAGTGGTTTTCTCTTTTGAAGTTGCTTTTCATGGTATACTGATTTCAGTATTCTAGGTCAGGGCAGAATTAATTATGTGACTGTATTGCCCTGGTCTTCATTGATGAGCTTCACAAGTGAAGGGTTTGAGTAACAAATCAGCAAGGATTGCAAAAAGTAAAATGTAGGCATTGAGAGAGACTATACTGTGATGAATTATATACTTTGGGTGTATTCTGCTACACTGAATTTAGACTGTAATTGCTGGAATTGATTCTAGCTAAAAATTTGCTAAGAGCTTTGGGAATTAGAAAGTTGCACTTCTGAGTAAATTTTCTCTAAATTCCCACAGGCTATAGCTTTAGCCTTTGTTAATCTGAAAGACAGATGATCTTTCTCAGTGATAGCTATATTTTCATGTAGCTTTTAATAAGCAGCCAGATATTAATTTCATGAAATAATGTAAATATTAGAAAGTAAAACAGGAAAATGGCATATAAAAGTGACATTCTGAATGGCAAGTCTCTAATGCTGGGTATCTCGTAAGAACAATCTATTCCTGGAAAAAATTTTGGAAGGTACTAGAATTGAAAGTATAAGTTTGCTACATAAATCAAGTTTCTTAGGAAATTTGAGATGATACTGCCATTTGTCTTATAATTTAAAGATGTAATCTCCTGAGTTAAGCCCTGCAGGAACCACCCACTTCATTTTGTAAGATCCTTTTAGGTATGGGGAAGTAGGTATGTTTATAACACATGGAATGGAAGCCCAAGGCTGGTCACTTTATAGTCAAGACAGGAGGGGGGATAATGGCTGTGAAGTACATATTTCATGGAGCTGAATAGAACCTCAATAGAATATTGTCTCTTGTCTGAAGAAAGAGACCACCTCAAACCACATGCCTGTCTAGAGATTGAATAAAACTGTGTGAATGCCTTAAGGTGACTGGTGGAGGTACTGGTGGGCATGTATGCACCCATCTGAATTAGGCAACAGTCTATTTCAAACCAACTTTGTATAGCCCGAGTTGCTCCTGTCCATAACCTGTTGAGGAAGATGAGAAATATGGTGCTGGTTACTTTCGTGTGTCTGGGGAGGCTGACATCATTGCTTGACATCATTAAGGCACTGTCCAGTGTCCAAGCCTTCCTTCAATACCACTTGTACATCTACATCAGTTCATCTATGCAAGCTTGTGTTTTGTGGTTTGTATTTTACACCTGAACATCAGGTTTAGCATTGGTGTTATAAATAATTTTTAAACCAAAGTATTGTATGAGTAAGTCTGTGTGCTTTGTTTTTGTGGATGGTTTGAGGTAAACACCTATCTTGTCTTCTCTTAATAAAGTCATCTGTTTATTAAGTCAGTGATGGCCTCCTGTTTTCATTACTATAGATGAAGTCTACAAAGTCTAAGAAAGTTGTAGCAGTTTATTGCTATGGGAATTCCTTCAGCCAATAGCCTTTAAGATACCAGTCCACTTGGGTGTAGTCTCTTATACTATGAATGCAGCCATAATTTCATACTCCCCCAGCTACTGGATTTGGTCCTGGTTCCCCATTCATGCAGAGGATCATCTGTGAGTCTATCCCTAAATAAACAACACTTTATTATTGTCAATTCTGAGGTAGTGTGGGATTACTTTATAGCTTCTATCTTCATCTGATGCCCACATGAATCCCAACTCTATGCCTACTGGGATAGGCCCAGAAGGTCTGCAGCCCAGAGGTGTCCCACCCCTGCCTTCCTGGCTTGATTTCACTTACTAAGTGGTTTTATGCCAAAACCCTGCCACAGCAGAGCTACTTCATGGCAACTTGGCAGTTTTCCAGGCTTGCACCATGCTTCACACCCCCTGACATTTTCCCTGACACACAGCAACTCATGCAGCTTCCGGCTTGTGTTCCCTGCTCGCGAGCTCTGTGCTCTGTAATATTTTGGGCAGTAAAACAACTTTCACCATGTACAGAATTGATTTAATTGCTCCAAATTTGTGACTCAAAGCATATTTGTCAGCATTTAGCCAGGTATCAACGGATGTAACTAAAGCCAGCAGGATTGTTTGATCCACCACTGTACAGTGAAATTTTCAACCAAATAGTTCAAAATATAAATCATCAAAGTACCCCTATTTTGTGTGTGTCATTGACAGAATTGATATATTTTTTGGAGGGGTGGTAAAAAAAAAGGGGTAGTCTGTATTGCACATAATAACCCTCTTGACTAAACTTCTATGAATATAATTGACTCTGGTAGACACCTAAGTTAATTTTGAGAAAATAGAATTATTAATTGACATTTATTTAATATTTTACCTTTACAAGGATTGTTCTTACTGTTCCAATAATTGTGATGTAAAAACATTTTGCAGAAATAAATCTCTTTTCAAAAATACATTGTTATTTTAATTTATAGCTGAATTTGCTGTTCAAGACCTCTGAAAGCCACCTTCTAAAGTTCAAATTCTTCTCCAGTAAATATAATTGGAAGTTGTATTGGTTAACATTTTGTCCACTGGCACAAGCTACAGTCAGTTAAGAGGAGGGATCTCAACTGAAGAAATGACCCTACCAGATTATCCTGTAGGCAAATTACTGACTGGAAAATTTTCTTGGTAGATGTGGCAGGGCCCAACTCATGATGGCTGCTGCCATCCCTTGTTGATCTTGAGTGCATAAGAAGGCAAACACCCCTATCTATCTTTTCATAAAGTCATCCATATATTGAGTCAGAGATGGCTTCATGTTTTCTTTACTAGATGACCAAGAACATAACAGCAGTGTTTCTACCTTTTGATAAAATGATACAATAAATCTTTTTAAAAAATATTAGTAGAATTTTATCACTTCAATGGCTTTTATGAAACATATAACATTCTGTACAGTGAAATTTTCAATAAGTTGTCCAAAATATAAGTCATAAAAGAACTATTTTTTGTTTAATGTTTTTTGTTTCTCATCTGCAACATTTGTGGCACTCTGAACTTCCAAACTAAGATTGAGATTTTGAAATTATTTTACCTCCATTCAGGGGACAAACGCACCAGATATTTCCTCTTCACGCTGTATTTGGGTCTTATGTTTTGACCTGCAAACAAAAAGAAAGCAAAATCAGTGTGTTACAGGAGCCTATCACCCCGAACCTGTTTAAAATTGCTCCTACATATATCACTTTAGGACTGGTCACGTGATATTGTAAAACCAGTCATGGGCTCATCTCACTGGACAGTTTCTAGAGTTACAGTGTTCTGACAGATTCATGTGTTTGTGTGTCTTTGTGAGGAGTGGGATTCATAGTTGTCCTACCACTGGCATGATCTCTACTAAGATCTACTAAGAGAAGTGTTTTGTGTATTTGTTACTGAACTTTGATTTTAATATTTTACATTTAAAACTTAGAAAATTATTATGTTATCAAATACTTGTTAACCATTAAATTGATGAGTATCTTAACTGTTGAATCATCTACAGGGTATATTGAGAAAATACTTGGAGCTGTCTTTATCTAGTAAAGCTGAATAGATGGATGATGCTATTTTGTACATATAATTATAGTAAGAGAAGTGGATAATGAAAAAATTTTAAGTTAACTATAGAAATGTAAGTTGTGATTTAGGAGGTATTGAAACTATATATAGGATATTCTTGATTTTGAAGATTTTATTAGAATTAAGTATTCTAAATAATTATGAAGCAAAATTTTATAACTAGTAAACTTTGTATACAATAAACTATTTCAACTCTCCATATTTATATATTTATGTATTAACCCTAATTTTTTCTGTTTGTGTCTTTGTAACTATGTTTTATTGCCTCATTTACTTTTCTACCTATATCTATGTACCTACGTATATTTTACCCCTCTATTACTCTGTCTGCATTTATTTAAATGTTATGTATCATTTCTCCCATTAGTCTGCATCTATGTACCTGTATATGTATCACCCCCATTTCTAGTCATGTGTCTATGTACCTATATGATTATTTGCCCATTTCTCTGCCAATATTTAAGTACCTATGTATTTAACCATATTTCTCATTTCTCTGCCTGTTTCTACATACCTATAAATTTATAGCCCCCTAGTTTCTCTGCCTATTTCTGTCTGTCACCCCTGACAATTCTCTCTCCATATACTCAAATATTTTTAAAGTATATTCAACAATATCACTTCACTAACAATGCTAGAAACAATAAATGACTCAATAGAAATTACCATTTGTGGTCATATAATGATTTTTATGTAATACTTACGAAAGACAACATACACACACACAATGGCTGGTCACTTTTGGGTTTTAAATGTACAAGAGAAAACTAAAAATAATGTTACATTTCTCAAAAAAAAGCAGGGAGCTTGTCTGTAGAGATAGCTCAGTGGTTATCACACTTGACTTACTTGCAAACCTGAGAGCTTCAATTTGGAAGCCAAGAACCAGTGTGGAAGTAGGAAGCAGTAATTCAAGTGTTTATGATCCCGATATCCCCTATCTGAAAATATGAAGACATGAGAACAGCTGGAACTTTCAGGGGATCCAGCTTGGTGGAGGCAGTCGTGAAAACTGCTTCTCTCATAGTTAATATGCCTATCACATAAACACAGAGAAGTCAAGATGGTGCCTAACTGGAAGCTTCATTCCTAGTGACTAGAATTTATAGCACTAGAAAGTACATTGCATGGTTCAGAGAAGAAAGGTAATCAATCCAGTTACTGACCCTACGAAGTACAACACTGACCTCCCTGTTAGATACAGTGGGGGTTATTAGTGACACAATTGTTATGGTAGTATCCAATCATTTTATGATTGAATTTAAGTATCAGTCCATAAGTCAGAATGAACCCATGCTTGATACTGTTAAAGTGGTCAAGAATCTGAGACTGGATAGACTGAGGAGAAATCCAAATACTATTCTTCTCACAAAGGATACAATAGCAACACAGTGACTCCTAATGACATGACTCTACTCAGAGATCAGTGTCATTCAGCCATCAACAGAGAAGTTGCTCCGTGCAGTAGGTAGGAACTAACTTAGACACACAACTGGACAATGTGAGAGACTGGGAGATTTTGGAACACTTATTCTCGAGTGGGATGTCTTTATCAAACCCCTCCAAGGTGCAGGGTATATGTGGAGGAGGGAGTGGAAAGGTTGTTAGAGCCAGATGTGATTTATTATGACAAGGAAACAGTGTCTTCATACATAACAGACATGATGCATCAATGAACTCACAGAGATTGTGGCAACATGGATTGGGCCTGTAGAGATGGAGTCCTAGCACTGAGAGTGAAAAGTGAGTATGGGCTCCCACACCTGATCAAGAAGCTATGTACTGGCAGAAAAAGTTAGTTCTCTTCCCTGGATTCTCCCAGGATATATTAACCACAGCGCAGGGCAGGCTCTGTGCCCAGAAATAGGTGGCCGACACAAAACTAATGGTATTCGTGGAGCTTTCTTGTCTCATTTGCTTAGTTTGGGAATTGTTTTATCTGATCAGTTTTCTGTTTCTGTATTTGGTCTTGGTTTCCGTGGCTATATTTTGTGATCCTGTGTGTTTACTTCTTGGCTTTGTTGTCTTTTAAAAAGAGAGAAGAACAAATGTGGGTAGGTTTGAGAGCTAGAGAGGATCCTGAAGGAATTGGGAGAATGGAAAGATGATCAAAATACCTTGCATAGAAACATATTTCAATAATAAGGAAAAGTAAAAACATGTCCGTCTAAACAAGGTGGATGATTCGACCAACACCTGAACTTGTCCCTTTCATCCACATGTTCACCATGGCATGTGCCCACTCACCCACACACAGGTCATGTCACTATAATATTTGCTAATCTACTACAGCATGGCTGTAGACAAACTCATTGTTTTGAAAACTTATAAGTAATGTAGATAATTGAATAATTATCCTGGTTTAAGAAAAACAAGATTCTATACCTCAGGATAATGAATAGGTAACAAGGATTTATATATACACATATATATACATATATATATATATATAACATATAGATAGACAGACACACACACACCAGGAAATTTTTAACAGAATGGGAAAATGCACTTTCCTTCTGATCACGGCTATTTGGACAGGCTGCACTTCAAGCAAACAGTTACTTGCCACTCTGCTGTAGTCATTCTGAACAAACTTATCTAAACCATGGACTCCATTGTAAGAATAATGAGAACAACTGACCATTGAACAAAAGCTCCAGCACTAGGAATGAAAACCCTGTCTTCAAGCTGTTGGTCATAAGAGTCCAACAGACTCCCAAAACAATATAGGCTATCGTCATTGTCCTGGTTCCCTCCCAGAAATTCGAAGTAGAATCCTATTGCTGAGTGTCATGCACTTCATATACACGGCTTGA